ATTAATAGAGCCCCGCCCAACACCAGAACCCCTGACCCTGGGGCCATAAAATTCACAATTTTGGTAGAGGCACTCATGCTCATCATAACTATGTACTTAGTTGGTTTATTTAATACCCAGGAGTAGAGAAGAAGATTTCCAAAGAAATAATGCATTTTCACTATATACTTATTTAGCCCCGCCCTAGCACTAGAACCCCTGACCCCAGGGCCATGAATTTCACAATTTTGGTAAAGGACTCAATGCTGATTACAATCATGCAAACAGTTTGACTGCTTGATGTTCAGGAGTAAAGAAGAAGATTTTTAAAGATTGCATTAATTTTAGTGGTTTCGGCCCCACCCCTCGGGCCCCAGGGGGGCAGGGATCATGAAATTCACAATTTTTGTTCCCCTTCACCCATAGATGCTTTGTGCCAAATTTGGTTGAAATTGGTTCAATGGTTGCAGAGAAGAAGCTGAAAATGTTCAAATGTTAACACACGACGGACGACGGACGACAAACGACAAACGACGGACGACGAACGACGACGGACGAAAACGGATAGCAATAGGTCACCTGAGTTTACTCAGGTGACCTAAAAAAAAAACTGAACTCCATCTAGATCCGCCACTACATTTTCTTTCAGATGTAGCAGGAAAATTCTTGGCACATTGTAACTGCTAGGCAATATCTCGTAATATTCTGTAGCCTGCTAGGTCTTTTAATAAATTAACATTTAACCATATTTTTGAAAATGTTTATATATGTACACGTATACATGCATGTACACATCATTTTAAAATAAATACGTACAACAAATCCTGTTTAGAGAAAGTAAAATTGTTCATACATAACAGGGTCTTTGCTGTAGACTATCACTCGTGTCCTAAATTTCTCCGCACCTCAGTCATGCCAAAGTTTGTCAATCAGGAATCAATGAAATATTTACCTCATTGTTTATAAAAATTTAATTTTATGTTTATTGTGCATTTTTGTTAAACATTAAGATGCTCTTTTTAATATACTATTATATGAATGTTAAATATTTTTTTTTATATTAAATTGTTTTAAATCCGCAGAAACGCACTGCGACTTCAAACTTTCATACCAAATAACCGACCGCCTCCTGGCGGCTGTAATTAAGACAAAAAACTTGCATGAGTGACAGACTTTGAAGACCAGCAATTGGATTTGGTTCTAATGTTTCAAAAAAAAAAAGCCATGAAATTCGCAGTTTTGAAACAGGCCTCAATGTTTATCATAATTATATACTTAGCAGGGATGGGGTAATTGAAAAGCGTGTTTGTAATTGACTGTAATTAATTACATTTTTGGAAGTAATTAATAGAAGAAATTTGTAATTGCACATTTTTTTCAATTACTTGTAATTGTAATTTAATTAATTACACTTAAAAAATACCATGTAATTTCAATTACTTTTTTAATTACATTCAATTACATTGAATCACATTCAAGATACATGTATAATGTTCACCACTGCCTCCCCATTTAGCATTTTTTTTTAAATTTTATTTTATTTTTTTGTAAATATATCCTCAATCCTTCAATTATACAAAATCTTAAATTAATATGTAGAAGCAAATAATTAAAAGACTGGTTTGATGATAATAATAATCTAGTTTCTTTCTAATCATTATGTACGTAAAACATTTATGTAAATTTAGTATGACTCTTAGGTCTAATCAGCTATGAAACACACATTTAATTAATTTAAATCTTTGGTGTTTGATCAATAATAAAAAAAGAATGCGTGTGTCATTAAGGGTGCGTATCATTACCACTACATTTTCAAAATTTTCATAACTGCTACATAGTCATTACCGCTACAAAAAACCTTACATTACCGCTACATAAAAATTATACATTACTGCTACATTGCTTCATAGCCACAAATGCGTGTACAGTACAACCTATAATTGCATAAGACCCATTTCCCCTGCTCACCACGGGGAGGTGAAAGTAAGACTTTGAGCATGACGTTTTTTTTATTATCAAAATCAATTTTGTTTCATAAAACACAAAAAAATTAAAATCAAGCACTGTTCATAGATATAATTCTAAGTTTTGTCACATGTTTTTACACTATCGCTAAAGCCTTGAAAGCCATTTGCTAGACATATTGTTGTTTTCTAAATTTATAACCATCGATAAGTAAGCCGGCATTCCCTCGAGTTGTAACAAACTTCTCAATTGTGGTCATAATGTTCAGATGACACTAAATAATTAAATTTTGACTGCAGAGTTAAGTATGTAAATATACTCATTCTGATTACAGGCGCGTAGCATTGTTTTTGAAAGTGGGGGGGGGCCAGCCAGAGAAATTTTTTTTTACTTACCTGAAAAAGTTGACAAGCAAAAAAAAAAAAAAAAAAGGAAAAAGTTGCCCAAAGCCAAAAATCCTATTTTGGATTAGATAGTGAGTGAATTCTGTTGATTAGAACTCATATACCGAACCATACCTGGCTAAATCGACATGTAGCTTTAATGAGTTGTTTTGGGCTGATTCAATATGTAGCGGTAATGAGTTGTTTTTGGCTGGAAAAATGTAGCGGTAATGATAGGTCGGAAATCTGAAAAAATGCAGCGGTAATGAGTTGAAATTTTTGGCAATGTAGCGGTAATGTTGACCTCCCGTCATTAAGTTCGCTCTTGTTGAGGAGAGATAATTGCCATCCAGATCACAGCTGTAAATTACAATCAAAACAAAACAAAACAGGAGGTATTCATTCAATGATTTAGATGACAAAGACAATTGAGAAAATTATTTCAATTCAAAATGCTACGCTAGCTTTAGAAAAGAAACAATTTCATATATACTGTATTTGGGGGAATACAATGCGCACTTTTTCCTAAAATAAAATACTGTGAGAAAGGGATGCGTATTTTACATCACAATGGGATTTTGATGAGTTTTTCTTTCAGGTGAAACACGGATATCATACGTACATACCGTAGTATTACCTAGAGACATAAGCAATTTCTTTTGTTTATTGCCATATTTTAAACTTTGGAAAGTTATTGTTGGAAGGTATGCTTCTTAAAAATGTCACTTTCATAATCTTTTGATACCAAAATAACATGAAAAAGTAAGTTAAAAGTAATTTGAGCTGCATGCTGATTGTCTCCGTGGAGGCCGCCATTACCGATGTTATTTTTAGACGTTCACTCATGCCTATGTCACGTGCTTCCGTAATGATAGTGCACATGCACCTTATCTGCCAGACAAAGTAATAAATCATTTTTTATAGGTTTAAAATAACTCAATGATAATCTGCAACAATATTAACACCCGTCCATACATCCCAATGAAAGGAAGCCAATGTTGTGACACATGTGCGCTGGTCAAATGATAATTACCTATCAACACCCCTCGGGGCAATTAATTGTCTACCGACTCCAAAGCAATGTTTTTACAGTTAGAGCACTGATTATTTACTGCCATGTTAATTGCTTTGATTATTTTCTTTGTTAAAAATTGGGGGTCGGTTTATGACCTTTCGTATGTGTGAGCATATGTTGATTACGGCACTTTAAACAATTAAACACTTGTTAAATGTAATTTTACCTTATCTTATACTTATCGGCCTTTTGTTTAAATAATTGAGAGTTGACAAATGAAATATAAATTATGCTAAAACTTTTAATAAAAGTGGTATCATTTAGAAAGTAAGATATCCGCGAAGATTCAGAAGAGGAAAATCGTAGTCTTCTTAAAGAAATAAATACTTTGATGTTTCAATTTCGTTTCCTGTTAAAATATTGTAAGATAATTTTCAGCATGATTATCTAGAACCAAAATTAAATATGACAACTGATAAAACTTTCGACAATATCTCTTGCTTTGTTGAAATAAAATTATTTCATCTAAGAATATGGCGACGCATAATTTCAAATTCACCGTAACTATTCTTTAAAAAAATCTGTTAATACTTTTACGCAACATTATCTTGTGCTTTGTTGAAATAAATGAATAAATAATTATCTCAAGATTGCTGCGATATGGAATGTCAGGATTAAGAGAAAGTTATAAAGTGTGTATTTTAAAAAAACAGTGTTCAGTAAATTTTTGACAATTAATCCTCGCGCCGATTTTTGTAACAAATTACCGCGATTTTCAAAGTTCAGAACATCGCTTGGTAAATTTTTCAGTTGCGTATAACACATCCGAACTGCGTTTTTTTCCCCAGTTTCAGACTCAAAAAGGGGGGTGCGTATTTTACATCAATGCGTATTATACTCGGCCAAAAACGGTAAACACCAAAACAGATTTTAATGAATTTTGCATTTAAAAACTCAAAAAGTTATGTTCTGTACAAGTATTATTTATTGAGTAATAAAAGATGTTCAACATAAATAGCCATTTAGAATGTTCAGGTTACCTTCAATTCAAGAAAATATTTAATTTGAGGGGTTACAGTTGTGAATCATTTTACTCAACTAAAATATCCACTTTTTAACAAATATCATAAGCAATGTAATTTGTGTACATGTAGAATTCAAGCGGAGGAAACTGCATCAAACTGATCTCGGTCAGTTCTTGTACATGTTGTAAATAAAAGTTGTAAATTAAACAACAATTAGATACACAATGCCTTTAGCATATTATTTCTTATTCAAAGACTGCGCTTATATACCAATGAATGATGTTCTGAATATATTCATTGACAAAATTTTCAGAAAAATTAAAAATGTAATTTGTAATTTAATTAATTACTTTTGCAAATAATTGTAATTTAATTAATTACATGTCTTAGAAAGGCTGTAATGTAATTGTAATTTAATTGAAGCAAAAGTCAAAGTAATTGTAATTTAATTACTAATTACTTTTTAAAGTAATTGACCCCAACCATGATACTTAGCATGCTTACTTTGGTTACTTAATACCCAGAGGTACATCAGAGTATCAATATACATTTCCGCTTTATAACCACCAGTTGTTAATCTGAAAAAAAGCTTCTTACTAATCCTTTGCAAAGAAGACATATTTAGAAACTAACCTGTGAATTGAGTCAGGATGTTGTTTCTTGACCAGTGATTTAATCAGCTGACCATAGGGAGTGTCATGTACAGATATTCTGGGCATCTCCACAGTTTTATATGCTGGCACCTCAGGGGCTGGAGCAGCTTTCCTAGTGGCCATCAAACTAGGGTGGAGATATCCATGTCCATGACCTTCATCTTCTTTAAGTGTTAAAGAAACAAACAGCATTATAGCATAATGAATTTTCTTTACATTCAAAATTCACGGTATCAAAACTTGCATACCTATAACTTAAAATGATAAATGGCATATTTTTGATAAGTGCAGACTAACTAAAATTAAACAGATCTTTCTATTTGTTTTGTACTTTATATAAAGATAGGACTTTCCTGTAAATTACACAATTTAAATTAATTGTGTTCCATAGATATCACAGATTTAAAACAATAACTGATTTATTTCCGATTCAAAAATAAATATCAGACAAAGTTTAAAGTCAATTTAACCATAGAAAGATGGGCATATTTAAGCTCAAAATAGGTGAAAATTTGAATTTGAACGTAAGTAACAAATATCATGTAAATCTTTGCTTAATCTCACATTTTCATATTTTTTTAGCTCATATACGCCATATATAGCTTTAAAAAGTTTGATTTATTACACAGAATAAATCGAGATGTATTTAAATACAACAGCCCAAAATGTGACCAAGTGGGGTGCCTACAATAGTTTCTGGAGAAATTCTTTACCTTATTATATGAGACCGTGTTTCAGTCACCTAAAAGGTGATGATCACTGTGCTATGAGAAAGAATGACATAGTGTCAGGGCCATCACTCTTGAAACCTCCCTTGGAACAGATGTAAACTTAGGTGTGTTTCTGCTTCATTTTGTATCTAGGCTATTTAACTTTCAGTGGAATATTAAATCTTATCCAATGTTGCGCATTACTGTGATATTCAAGGTAAAGTAAAAATCAAAAGCCTGAAAGGCTTCAATGGCATTGAACATGAAAAGACTATGGTGCCATAATAAAAAAATAAGATATTAACAAAACGTCACAATGTCAAAATGTCACAGTATCAACAAGATATGTTTGTGAAACACTGATGCCCCCGTATGGCAACATAGCAAAGATTAAACTTTTCTTAAATGCAAATTTAATGGTACCAAGAGTAGGGTATTCTCACTGGAAAACAATTGTGAAATTTGAAAGTAGTCTAATGTTAAAGTTTTTTCAATCAGTGCAAAATCTCCAAGTTCAAGGTCAAAGGGTCAAGGTAATTGGTATCCAATGAAAGATCTTGCCACATAGAATACTTATGTAGATTATGAAGCCTTAGCCCTCACCATTCAGAAGTTATGGCCAATGTTAAACTTTTTTTTTGAAGTAGGTCAAACTCTAAGGTCAAGGTCAAAGGGTCAAATTTCTTGTTAGCAAATGAAAGGTCTTGTCACAAGGATTAAATATGTGAAGTATGAGAGCACTAGCCTTAACCCTTTAAAATTTATGGTCAAGGTTTGCTTTTTTAAAGTAGGTCAAACTCAAAGGTCAAGGTCAAAGGGTAAAAGTGCTTGGTATTTAATGAAGGGTCTTCTCACAAGGATTACATATATAAAGTATGAAAGCCCTATATCTTACCGTTCAAAAGTTATGGCCAAGGTTAAAGTTTTTTCACAAGTACAGAAATCTACAAGGTCAAGGGCAAAGGGTCAAGGTTGTTGGTATCCAATGAAAGGTCTTTCAACAAACATTACATATGTGAAGTATAAATGTCCTGGTATCTACTGTTCAAAAGATATGGCCAAAGTAAAAGTTTAAAATTTTCATGTAAAAGTGGGTCAAACTCCAAGGTCAAGGTCAAAAGGTCAAATTTGGTGGTACCCAAAGAAAGGTCTTGTCACAAGGAATACACATATGAAATATGAAAGTCATAGCTCAACTAAATCAAAAGTTATGGGCAAGTTTAAAGTTTTTGCGGACAAACAGAGAGACAGAGAGAGATGGACGGACACGACAAAACTATATACCCCCGAAACTTCGTTTACGGGGGCATAAAAAGTTACAGTCTGGGGTCTTATGCCATGGTACAAATAGAGCAGGGTTCGAATTGACTAGACACCACTGCACATGGTCATGCTAAATATCAATTTAATTTCTTTTCAGAAAGTTGAAGAACTATGAAGGGTTTCATGAAATTATATATAATTCTTTCTAACTGCCAATCTCTATGCATCTAAACTACAACGGTCACCATGACTCTGCTCTATAACAAGTATGATTGAGTTACCATCGGGCGTAGCATACGGTACACTGGGAAATGGAGGAAATGGAGAAATACAGTAATACTGTTCATTATCATCAGTATTTAGGATAAAATTGGTTAGAAGATTGTTAAAGTAAAGCTAAGATTTAGAAATTTCATCTTTTTAGTCTTGGAGTAGTAATGTTTATGTAATTTTGTAATTATTTTACAGCCTGTTGGGTTGTTTGTTTTCACACGGTTATCATTCTGAAATGTTTTTCATGTCATTTGACATACCCTTTCTGTAGAAATTCATCAGCAACAACCATCACATTTTTCTTGTGTGTGAAAATAAAATACAGTATCGTTGTGTTGTAACAGAATTGATATAATTGATGCAATTTTGGTTTCATTGTGTGCATCACTGAAGAAACTGGTTTATAGCTATTGCTATTTTCTATTGCAGATGCATCAACAGACACATTACAGTGACGAACATCCAGTGGTGATTTCGTTCTGGCTGATAGCTAGATGACATTCTAGCTCTAAGAGCTCGACACCATAAAAAGTCAAAAGGTCATGTCAAAGTACAATTGAGGTAGAAAGAGACAAATGTAATCATTTAGAAAAAACAACTCCTGCTTTTAATGGCGAATGTATTTTATCTTCTAACAAGAGGCCCAAGGGCCTTGAATCACTCTTCTGATTAATTGTACAATTGATCACTTCTATTTGAAGCCTCTAACTTTAAGAATCCTACAATCAAGATGCATCAACTGACAAAGTTTGATGATTCTAAGCCAACAAGTACCTGAGATATTCAAAAGTAGGTCACCATGACCTACTTTTTGGTCGACATTCTCCAAAAACCCAAGATGCATCAACTGATAAAGTTTGACAATTCTAAGCCAATCAGTACCTGAGATACTTAAATATAGCCATAAAATGTTACAAGCAGGTCACTGTGACCTACATTTTGGTCAACGTTCTTTGAAAACCAAAAAATGCATCAACTGACATAGATTGATGATTCTAAACTAATAAGTACCTGAGATACTATAGCCATAAAATGACCCAAGATGCATCAACTGACAAAGTTTGATGATCATAGGTCTGAAAGTATTCAAAATATGCCTTTTAAGGTGTAATATCCCTCTGATAAGAAAGATAACTTTCTGAAGACATTTTTCTATGAAATTCAATGAATTGTCATGTCAGATTTTATAGATTTCATTCAGAAGGACCTTTTTACGGTCAACTCAATCGAATCTGTTTTACCGTTCAGATGTTCATATCTAGTTTCTATTGCCAATTTTCTATTTATTATTTAATATATACATTTGTGGTATCTCTCCATTATATAAACATACAGAGAGAAAATATCTTCAATTCTGTATGAAGTTTGTTAGAGGTCAATACGTGACCTAATCACACAGCGCAATAATATCTACCGGTAAATAAATTATAAAATGACCTGCTCTACTTGCTTTTCGTGTATAAAAATGAATAAAATAAGCAAGTAAAATGATAATTATTTTATTTTAAATGTAAACAAGTATTTCATACAGTTTTTGGGCTATCTATTCAACCTGTGTACATAGAGAAAACTAGGACAGTGTAGGAGCCTAGCATTTGTTTACATTTTTCTTCACTTTTGTCAGCTGCACAGTCTCTAACATTCATCCTTATTTTTTGGATAGACCTTTGGTTAAATTTTCATGATCAACTTTTATTTTATCTTTAAATTTTACTCACAATAAATGTGTAAATCTGTAGGAAAATATCTTTGCAATCATGTCATGAACAGCTGCCAAACACCTCGGTGTTTTCGTAGTTCAATATAAAGCTGTCGCCAGTGTATCCGTGTTTTTCAGTGTTTTACGATAAGTATGCCTTTAGTTACTGAAACCGTGGAATATTTTTGATCAAACTGCAAATTTACTGGCTCGGACAAGTGTCTCAGTCCATTGGATCCATCCATCCCTTTCCAGCGACCGAAATTCCTCCAACTTTTTATCATCAAACTTCGGACGTGTTTCTTGTGTTTTTAGCATCAATTATCATTTTCACGAATAAAATTTTCCAAGACAACAATCTGTTCACTATTTGATCACAAGTAGCCTTTCACAAAATATTCCCTTCGAAATAGATTCCTTAGCCTAATGAATTTGAATAACCGCCATGCTAGCCGATTTACACCTTTCGTCATTTTTCAAAATCTGACGATTAGTGCAATAATTTAATATATGAAAATATTATTTGTGGCTCAAATGTATATAACATAGGTAATCAGAGATTACAGAGCTCACCTCAACGAATGTTGTCTTTACGTAAGGCAAAGTCACACAATTAACCAACAAATAGTGTACATTCCAAAAATGAAAATATTTAAGCAATTTTGAATACTTTGAAATAGACCTATATAAAAAATTTAAACTAGATATATTCAATTATCATGAAAATGTAATCAATATCCAGCATCTGAAGCAAATGATTGGAGAACTTTTCATAGCTTATGAAAACTATCACCTGTTCACTCAACAGGAAAATGTAGGAACATCAGATATATATAAGCAAGCCCGGTAGAGTGTATCCTCAGATGTATCATCCATGCAAGTTTGGTCAACATAGGGCTTATAGTTACTTGCAAATGAAACATGCACCAAAAACTTTAACCTGTTCACTCAACCGGAAAATGTAGGTCAGATTCAGCATCCGAAGCAAGATATATATAATGGACATCCTTAGATGTATCATACATGCAAGTTTGGTCAACATAGGGCTCATAGTTACTTGCAAATGAAACATGCACCAAAAACTTTAACCTGTTTTCAACGGAAAATGTAGGTCAGATTGGGATCCGAAGCAAGCCCAGTAGTATGCATTTAGATGTATCATACATGCAAGTTTGGTCAACATAGGGCTCATAGTTACTTGCAAATGAAACATGCACCA